GGGCCTGCCAAACAGTCACTGAGGCCTAGGGATGGTGCTAGACTATTTTGTGCCCTAGGCAAGACCAGCCACTTGCACCACCCCCCCTAAAAAAAAAAATAAACATTTTTAAAAACTGTAGAAAATATTAAATCAACAAAACATGAAACTGCTACTTTACTTTTAATTTGCAAAAATAAGTGCCATAAAATGCTACCAGCACCAATATTAAAAACAAAATCTGTGGCTGGCAGTGGCAGGGGGACAGTTGCAGTGAGTGGAGAATGATGGATCCACAATCTGACAGATCTCAGGGTGGAATTCCCCAGGCAATCGGGGGAGATAAAACTCTCTGACAGCAGGCAGCTGAACTGAGTGATCCCATACAGTGACAGACCTGACATAACACACCACCAAAAACACTGACACAGATCAGCAGGCCCAGCAGGCGCTTGAAGAGCAGGCTGTGGGATCCTGATAATGTCATCACTCACTGACACATTGCATATGTGATGGATGACCACAGTCACACAGACACGAGATATCAGAGTCAGACATTACCTTCCTCCTCAGGCACATCTCCAGCTCTGCTGATGAATAGCAAGAGAAGGGCTATAACTCCACAGTGATCAGCAGCCACTAGCCAGCTTGCAGTAAGGGACTAAGTCTGAGAGGAACACTGGAAGGAGTAGCAGCTCAGCTGCTACTCTAGCCCCAGACACTCGACATCTTCCTCTGTCCTTTTGTCCTCCCCTCTGCTGCCCCTCCTCTCAGCTGAAGGATCATTCATGACTTAGCGGCATCCCACACAGAGAGAGTGCCGGCCTGTGCTGAGCCCAGGTGCCCCTAGGTGGCAGTGTGCCCTAGGTGGCTGCCTAGTTTGTGTAGTGGAAGCACTGGTCCTGCTGAGGCCACCTAAATGCCAACACATGAGGGGATGTGTATTAATGTCAAAAACTTTATAAGAATAATCAAAGAATAATCAAATGAGACTATAAATCACCCACTAATAGGTATTTATCAATATAGGTGTATGCACAGATGAATTATGAGTCATCCACACCGAATATTGTATCCAGTAGTAGAGGAAAAAATGATTTCTAAAGAAAATTATATATATATATATATATATATATATATATAGTGCAAATGAGTACACCCCTTTTGGAAAGTAAGATTTTAATTAATATCTCAATGAACACTAGAACAATTTCCAATATGTTGACAAAACTGAGTTTTATAGAACATTTGTTTAGCTCATTACATATGAAAGTAAGGTTAATAATATAACTTAGATTACAAAATTTTCAGTTTTACTCAAATTAGTTGATGCAAAAATGAATACACCACACAACAAAAACTGCTACATCTAGTATTTTTTTTTTTTCCCAAATATACTTTATTGTTTTAAGAGAAAACCAAAGCATTTAGAGCATGTACAGCCATGGATCACAGTCAACATCTAGTATTTTGTATGATCTCCATGATTTGTAAGGACAACACCAAGTCTTCTGGGCATTGGATGAACAAGTTGGCGACATGTTGCAACATCTATCTTTTTCCAGTCTTCAAGAACGACCTCTTTTAGAGCCTGGATGCTGGAAGGAGAGTGATGCTCAACTTGTCTCTTCAGAATTCCCCATAGGTGTTCGATTAGGTTCAGATCATGAGACATATTGGCCACTGAATTACTTTCACCCGGTTCTTCTTCAGAAATGCAACAGTGGCCTTAGATGTGTGTTTTGGATCATTGTCATGTTAGAAAAGTACATGACGTGATGGTAGCATCATCTTCTTCAATATAGAGCAGTACATCTGTGAATTCATGATAACATCAATGAATGCAGCTCCTCGACACCAGCAGCACTCATGAAACCCTACAGAAGGACACTGCCACCACCATGTTTCACTGTAGCCACCATGCATTTTTCTTTGTGCTCCTCCTCTATGCGATGCCGTACAGTTTTAAAGCCATCAGTTCCAAAAACATTTATCTTGGTCTCATCACTCCAGAGTACAGAGCCCAAGTAGTTTTCTTTTTCAGCATGGGCCCTGGAAAATTCTAGGTTGGCTTTTTTGTGCACAGGCTTTAGGAGAGGCTTCCTTCGTGGATGACACCCATGCATGCTATTCCTCTGCAGTGTATGCCTTATTGTGTCACGTGAAACAATCACCCCAGTTTGGCTTTAACTTCTTTAGCTAACTGCAGTGAACTTGCATAGTGATTTTCTTCAACCCTTCTCATCAGAAGACACTCCTGTCCAGGTGTTAACTTCTGTGGACAGCCTGGATGTCTCTGTGAGATAGTTGCAGTTCCATCTGTTGAATTTTTGTATCACTTTTGCTACAGTATTCTGACTGATAAGTAAAGCTTTGCTGATCTTCTTGTAACCTTCACCTTTCTTGTGTAAAGAAATTATTTTCTTGCTCAGGCCTTGTGACATTTCTCTTCCATGTGGTGCCATTGCTGAGAGCATGAAATGGGAAGGAGATTTCTTTATTAAGTAACGCCCTTTTATAATCAACTGTCTGTCCTAATTAGGATTTTGTTGTCCAAAATTTAGCTTTGCTTTGAAGACTTTCATTAGGGTGTATTAATTTTTGCAACATGGTCTTGAATGAATTTGTTAGGAAAAATACTTTTTTGTGTGTAAATGAACAAATTTTGTTTGCAATCAATGGCCCACATTTGTGGGAGTATTTTGTAGTATAGTGTCCCATAGAAAATGTTGATTCTAAAAGGAACGTAAAGGTTTTCTGCCAAATCTGTTAGGGTGTACTGATTTACAGTGAAGTATTTAGGTTTTGTGCTGCCCTAGACAACACAAAAATTGGACCCCCCCCCCCCCGCAAAGAGAGTCTGACACTGACCCAGACCACCACCCCTTCCCCCCCATAGTGAGAACCTTCTACTAACACACATCCCCCCCCCCCCTCCCTGCTAGAGAGAAAAAGAGACTCACCTTCACAGGTCCGGACATCCCTGGGAACGAGTTGGACTCTGCATACACCATGAAGCAGCCCGCAGCCTCTCTCAAATCCCACCTGGTCCCTGTGCTGCATGTGTCCCTTCTTCAGTCCCTTCTTCTGGGGGAGGGATGGTGTTGCTGCCCTCCTGAAAAATGCCGCCCTAGGCAGATGCCTTGTTTGCCTTGTGGTAAATAGGTAAATACGCCCCTGCTCATTTATGCTAAGCACTGTGTGTGTATATATATATATATATATATATATATATATATATATATATAAAATAAAGAGCCATGTATTCAAAATATGTTATTTACACTCTTCTAGCATTTAGTAATATTTTTGAGATTCAAACAAGTGAGGAGGCACCATAGCTCATCCTCACCACCTCAAGAAACACAATCCATCACGAATCACTCTTCAATGGGCACTTCTGGTGTAAATGAGCCCTAACGTGAGTGATCACATGAAATCCTGAATCCTGTTGAAATAAGAACTCCAGTCTTTTTTTACTTCATTGGCTGATTGTAGCTGTATTAGTGCACTTGCGACACAAACAATTGAGTACTGTCCGTGATACTTTTTTTATTTGGACTAACATACAATTTTCAGGACAAGCTTTTGGGGTATGTCCCCTTCTTTAAAGTCCAAGCTTGTCCTGAAAATTGCATGTTAGGGCAAATAATAAAAGTATCACGGACAGTACTCAATTGTTACATCATTGGAAGATTGAATGAAACAATAGTGAAAGGAGAGACCCCTTTTAATTAGACATCACTGATGCACACCATTACTAGTGAAGCATATTTGTAGGAATCTTCTTTCTGACATATGGGAAACCTCGGAACGTATCTTTGCTCTGACAGCTGTGCCGTGTTCAGTATCGGAGGCATTCTACGACATTATCTTATCAAAAACGGAAAGTTTTTCTTTCTTCTTTTTTTTTTTTTTTATTAACTTTTCTCAGAAGGGCACATTGAGTGATTTGCTACCTATATGAAAATCCAAAAGTTATTAGAGTTGAGCTGATTAACCACACAGTTAATTTATATAGGGGCCTAATTATGAGCCGGCTACACTTTGGTGGTTTTCTTGTTAAATAGATGCCTTTTCTCCTCCATTTGCTACGACAACATAAAGAGTCGCTGCCAAGTGCAAGTATGGCTGATGTCAGGGGGAAGAAAAAACTATTTCTGATCAGAGTAGCATTGCCGCAGCCTTTGTCACTAAAGGACAGAGACTGCAGAGGGTCTTTGTAATGGCTACAGAGAATCTGAGATGGATTGTTACTTCAGGGCATGCAGATTGCAGCTCACAGAAATCTCAGGAAAAAGTAGCTTTTCTTAGGAATTTTTAAAGTTGAACTATTGGCAGATATGGGGCAGCAGAGTGGCTAAATGGTTAGCACTTCTGCCTGGCAGCAATAGGGCTGTTGGTTCAAATCCCAACCACAGAACAACCTACCTGGAGTTTGCACGTTCTCCCTTTGCCTGTGTGGGTTTCCTCTAGGGACCCCACTCTCCAAAGACATGCTGGTAGGTAAATTGGCCCTAGTATGTATGTTAGTTAGGGACCTTAGATTGTACACCCCTTGAGGGTTAGGTTCATGTGCTGGAAATTTATGCTGATAGGAGGAGAGAGTAGAGTGACAGAGAGATGAGCCAATCATTGGGGTTTATTTAAGAAAGGCAATTAGACCAGTCTTTTTCGTTCAGGGTGCCCAGACACTCTGGGGTGCCTTGAGGTTTCTTCAGGGGTGCCTTGGCCAAATGTCTACAAAATGCCCAATCCTTGTAAACAAGCCAGCAGGTAGAACAAGCCTGCCTTTTATTTACACAAAGCCACATGATTTCATTGTGCACCATTACAACCTTCTAGCCTCCGGCGTCCTGACAACCAATCACATCATCAGTTGATAAGGAGGATGTCAGTTGCCTGCACAGCATCCTAGTTTGACCCTCCCCTGCCCCTCCCCATCAGTGCTGGGGTCACATTAGCTCAGTGATGGAGAAAAACTGAGGGAGAAGAGAAACACTGGAATACTAGTCAGTACCAGTGTGCAAAAGTGTATTTGCTTTGGAAGAATAAATCACCTCTAATGTTGGGCTTCCTACATGTGTGGATGTTGATGCGTTATATAAAACTATAAAACTATAAAACTTAGAATAATTTTTACATTTTAGAATGGGGTGCCTCAAGACTGTCCAGAATTCTAAAGGGTGCCTTGACATTGTCCATAATTTTAGACGGGACTGTCCATAATTTTAGAGGGTACCTCGAGATTGTCCATAATTTTAGAGGTTACCTCGGGACTGTCCATAATTTTAAATGGTGCCTCGGGACTGTCCATAATTTTAGAGGGTGCCTCGGGACTGTCCATAATTTTAGAGGGTGCCTTGGGACTGTCCATAATTTTAGAGGGTACCTCGAGACTGTCCATAATTTTAGAGGGTGCCCCGGGACTGTCCATAATTTTAGAGGGTGCCCCGGGACTGTTTATAATTTTAGAGGGTACCTTGGGATTGTCCATAATTTTAAAGGGTGCCTCGGGACTGTCCATAATTTTGAAGGGTGCCTTGACTGAAAAAAGGTTGAGAAACACTGAATTAGACAGTGCACTTTGCAAGTGTAGTTGCACCAGAGCTTAGTAAATGAGGGGAAACTCTGCTGACTTCCATCATCCAATCATGTGCAAGCAAAAATGCTGTTGTTTTGGGGTCTTTTTTAGTTTTTCTTGCACGTGATTGGGTATTCTTTGCAAAATAAAGCTTCAGCTCATTTAATAAGAGCTGGAGCAACTGAACTTGTAAAGTGCAGAGCAGGGGCGGACTGACCATTCAAGCACTCGGGCACTGCCCGAGGGCCCGAGGTCAGTAGGGGGCCCCATGAAATGCCCCTGGTACCTTTTTATAGGCTTTTTTGGGTGTGCTTTGAGTGTGGGCAAGGACACAGGGGCCCCATGATCCCCTATTGCCTGGGGGCCCCATGAGTTTTCAGTCCACCCCTGGTACAGAGTCTATTTGCCCTTAGTAATTCAACTCCACTGTTCTGCTTCTCCTCTCACTGTCCAGACACAGGCTGTGATGGATTTGGGACAACCTGGGCTCAGAGGAAGTGGGTTAAACCATGTTAGCCATGAGACTGAGGACATCTAGCAGCAGAACAATGTATGTGTGTGTGGGGATTCCTGGATTGAATATTCCAGCAAAAGTTGGCTTTGCTATTCTATCTTTTAATGGGCTTTTAATTTGTCTCTTTTTTGGCTGGATTTCTGCATTAAAGTGTATCATGTATCTAACACCATTTTTTTATCATGTTTTGGATAGAGTAGGGATGGCTTAGCCCCTCAGTTCAGATTTTCTTGCTGTTTATTTTCCAGCTGGGGAGATTCAATTTCTCCAATTGTCTTGCTGTCCATTGTCACCAGAACTGAAATGAAAGTAAATGCAACATTCTAGGTTGTAATTGGAAGCAGAGAAGTCTTTCAATAGGGACACTTATTAAAGAATATGTAAACCCAGCATTTCATTATCCTGATATGTGCCTACTGTACCATGTGCTTGTATGAAAAAGTATCCTGCTCTCTTTGTATTGCTTCCTTTGTGTGAAATCTGACAGTTCCTCTACTTTCCTAGCAAAAATGGACCACACTAGGCATGAGAGAACAGCATGGTCAGTTCTATAGCTATGATGAGAACTTAGCCTGCTCTCTTCCAATGATTAGACTTGCTCTGACTGCCCCCCCCCCCTACACAACAATTCACTGGGAAGATCAGTGTCCTGCTGTTTCTCCTCCCTCAGCTCTTATGCAGTTGAAAACAGAGGAAATGTGATCACGTATAATAAAGGGGAAATAGTGTTTATAATATTTATTCTTATCTATACACACATGCTTTGCCTTTCATTTCTATTTGAAACTGAATGGGTTGTTTTACAAGGTTAGGGTTAACACATGCTTTAAGTTGTTGCATTGAAAAAAGGGCCAGTTCACACTACATGCTTTTCAGTTGCTTTTTTTCTGCATCCAAAATGCACAATAAGTAGGTTATATGGTTGGCAATGTCATAGTTCATATCAGTGCTTGCAGTTCCAGTGCATTCCGGTTGCAGAAAAAGTGTAGAATATGCTGCATTTTTTCTGCACAGAACTGTACTGGAATGCGGTAAAAAATTCACTGGAATGCACCAAAAATGCACTGGAACGCACATGTCCTTATTTAAATTGAAGAAAAAGAGAGGGGGAAAAATCACTGGAACGCGGCAAAAATGCATCAAAGACACACTGGAACGTACCAAAAACGCGTGTGCGGAATAGCATCTGGAATGCATCTAGACTGCATTTCTATAGTGTGAACCGGCCCTAAGGGAGGATTTACCTCACTTACTGTAGTGTCTACAAAACATGAACAGAAGAGAAGTCTCATCAATGGGATGTTAGATGGCAGAAAATGAAGGGGTTTAACCTCTGCCTATTTCATCCAAATCTAACAAAAAATGGTTTTGGATATATTTTAAAATTGGACTTCAGGTAGACAACAAGATATACAGTTGAAATACATACTGTATGCAATATGTGAACTCTTTTATTGGCTAGGATTTGTAATTCTGCTCAGCCAGTCTTGCGATCCAGGCATGCTTGCAAATTGCATAGCCAAATCCCTGCATATATATGCATAGCAGAGCAATACAAAGCAGCATGTTTACACAGTAAAGCACACACAGACAACACAGTAAAACAGCACACAGTTAACCTTTTCTTCATCACAGATGTTAACCCCTTCCTTCCCAGTGCCATTAGTACAGTGTCACTGCTTTTTATTAGCACTGATCACTGTATTAATGTCACTGGGGATGTCAATGGCAGTTAGTTCCCTCCAGTGTCAGAATGCCCGCCGCAGTCCCGCTATAAGTCACTGATCACCGCCATTACTAGTATAAAAAAAAAAAATTCCAGTATATATACCGCCGTTTGTAGATGCTAGAATGTTCATGTAAACCAATTAATTTACACGTATTGGGATTTCTTCCAAATAGGACATTATTTGCCTCTGCTTGGTTCTAGGGAGTGTTCTCCAGTAGGTAGAGTGGATAAACTGTATTGGGTCATAAATATTTGTTCTGTGCTGGCCAATCATCGACAGGTTTATACCAATGATGTGGCGGGGGAAGGAGATAAATATTTGGAGAGAGCTTCTAGAAGGGTCCTTGCCTTCCTGGTTCTGCATGGAGAGCATTTGAGTCCTGGAAGTCTTTGCCTGTTGCCTGTGTCAAGGCCTGAGGAATCAGCGCTGGCTTGTTTAAGGCCTGAAGAACTAGGCAAGTGGCTGCCCATTGAAGTATCTTCAGAAGAGTCTGCTATGTGGAAGGATGTCCAGATGAGATTAGGGGAAGCTGCTGCCGGATGGACATTACTCAGCATTTAGGATTGCTCGGACCTTAACAAGGACCTTCATGGCAGGACCTCCGGGTATAAAATTCATTAATGCTACAGACTATCAAAGATAAAATCTAGTGATTGGGTTTCATATACTTTAAACTAGTCTTCCCACTTTCAAAGATATTATTTATTATTATTATTATTATTATTATTATTATACAGTATTTATAAGATATTGTCTTATTGGTTGCCTTGAGTTTCTGAAAATGATTGCTCTCAATGTAATTAAAGATGGAGTTTAATCTGCTTATATTTTGCATTTCCTGGTTCCTATTTCCCCCCATAACATGCTACTAAAAATTATAAATAAATCTTTTTATTTTCATGAGTAGATGCCAGTAATGATGATGATGATGCTCCGTGATTGAAAGAACTAAAATGAATTAATGAAGGAGTTGGCCAGGCACAGTCAGACTGAGAACTAAAAGGCTGGATGATGCTGGATGTTGTCCAACCAGGGAATGTGGCAGGCTCTGTCTGACTTGCTGAAGCTTCTAATGCACACTATTAGGAGCTTACAGTGTGCAGTGAAATATGAGTAAGCAACTTCTGCACAGGAGAGAAACCTGTACAATTATTCAAGACTAAAAGTAAGGCTGGAGCTCGGCTTTAAATAGCCATTATTAACTTTGCACTTTGGATTCGTTCAAAACCACTGGAATTATTTTATTTTGGAAATATTTTTGGGACCAACAATAATTGGGAGCGAAGGAGAGCTCTAGCCATTGATTTACGATAACAAGATTATTACCGCACTGCCCAAAGTGGCTTTTTCTTAATGTATAATCATGTAGCAGATCATGTATTCATTTGTATTATTAAATAAAGACTAACATAGTTGTACACCCAGTAGAGCATACGGAATGCACAAAGGATCATGGGTTCCCATAATCCCTTGCTCCCTCTTGGAAAGCCTGTGACTCATTCCCTAAGCAATCAGTGTTGTGTGCCATTACAAATGGGATGGTTAATAGGCCTGCATCCATTATCATTAGTGCATCTCAGCATGCAGGTACATGATGGGTCTTGCCAGAACGTTTGCTCCAGCTCACTGAGCCAAGGGCCATGCTCCATTGCAAATGAGGATGAGGAACACCTGCTCCAGGGTTTTTCAGCAGACCGGCGTCATCCTTCACATCTCATGCAACACTTGTTCTGTCAGAATGCAAGGTTGGCACAGGCCAAAACAGCGATTTGCCAGCCGTCCAACTAAATATTATAGACTTCCCTGTGGTCTTCTGCCGAAGTTCAGCTTTGAATATTTTCAAGCAGACCTTTTTAAAAATTTAGCATCTCTGGTATTAGGAATTCAGTCATTATGTTGAAAGTTAAAAATAAATCACCTTTGTAATCCAAACTTTTTTTTTCTTATCTTATACCTCTTCTTAAACAACTTTTTTTTGTATTGTAGCTTTTATTCACACAGAATATATAATTTTCTTACAGTATAAAAATACATTTAGAATACTGATTGCAGATAAACACCAAGTGGTTCACCACGTCTGTTCTTTATTAACTTTCTATAACAACTTACTTTTTACATGCTTAAACATATTTTTGTCTGAGAATACTTTTAAGATAAAACTGTTAAAAAAATAATAAAAAGTATTTAGTGTATTAACAATAAGGCATTTTTTTGTCTTTCTTTGTATGTCTGGTTTGTTTAGATGATTATATAGCATTATCAGTAGACATGTAGACTTACAAACATACAAAAAATAAATAAACACAAAAAAAAGTAAAAAACAGCATACGTTGCAGTATATCCATAAGATATATACTTAGACTATATGACAGTTTTACACCCTAATTTTTCTTTTTCCAATTTTTTTTTAAATTCTTGGACTTTTACATTCTTGATTTATTTTTCTTTTAATTGCATTCTTTTTTTCTGTTTAATTATCTCTTTATTTTTATTTCTTCATTTCCAACATATGTAGCAGTATATCCAAAAGATATATACAGTATATATACTATATGACGGTTCTACACCCCTAATTTTTCTTTTTCCACTTTTTTTTCTTTAATTCTTGGACTAATTTTGCCCTTTTAGATTTTTATACCTGTTATCCCCCCCCCTTCCTTCCTTACTTAC